TCTGGTCTTGGTCTTGTCTTGGTCTCGGGTTAGGTGGTCTTGAACACAACACTGCTGACAATTTTGCTTTTTAATGAGAAGGTGTTTTAAAAATGATAAAATAATCAATACACTGTTTTACAAGAGTTAAGGTGCCAAACATTGCCCTGTACAGGCTGCTGTGGGATGGGGTAAAGCTTGCAGTGATGTTGATGTTAGTTAGTAGGACACATACAAGATATCAAATGAAATTACTTAGCCAAGATTAATGTGGGTGCAACTAGATCAGGATTATTACTTCTACTTTATTAAATGATTGACATTTACATTACTCTGAAATCCTACATGTAGTGGCCAGTACAGAAGTTTTTTTTACATGTGGAATTAATTATGTAATGTTGTCTAAAGAAGTTGTCCAGCCTTACTGCCATGTTCAGCTCCTCATTTGCCTGGATAACCATCTGTGACACTTATATTTGGAACTCGCACGGAAGTGAACAATTACATTAATTTTGTCAAGTGTTTCAATGTTTAAAACAGCCAAGTAGTCAGTAAAACATGGCAATTCTTTCAGAAGACTCTTTTAAAACCAACTCAGCTTTTAATTCAAACCTTTTCAAAAAACTACATCTTGTTCTTCTTTTTATCAACAAGCACACATATTTGCCAAAAACACATTACATATGATTTCATCTTAGAAGCAATTTTGTTGTCAATTTTGTAGCTCTGTGTAAAAGATGTGTAACTGTGAAAATTCTGTTCATTCATCTTATAATGACATAGCAACAAAGATATCCATTACCTTTGGTTAACTTTGTCTAGGAAGCTCAGTTCTGTCCCTGAACAAAATCACACCAGCTGAGTAGTGATTCAGGATGTAGAAGGTGTCCATGACTCCCAATGCATGGGCAGCCACATGCAGAAGGCTTTCAATGATCTGCACAAGGAATATCAGCGTTTCCACATATTAAACATGCATCCAAAAGTCTTCTCACACAAATCTCAAAATTGGTTTGTATTAATCTTGAAAATGAAGATGTTTTACAAATGACTGAAACAAACATACCTCCCCTGTCTACCACTGATGTGGTCGAAGAGTGCACAAGTCAGAATGATGAATCACAATGCTCCGACCTTTAATTTGTGACGGAACAACTGCTACTACAGCTTCTGTGTCACTCTTTTTCCAAAGCAAGGTTAACTGCAAATCAGATATACAAACAAACAAATTAAAACATTTGAAAGTAATACAATAAAAATGTATATTTTACAAAATTTAAATAATACTTTATGCTAACAGCCAGCCATAATAAAGACAAAATCTATACCAGACTGCAATACATAGATGTCAGTTATGTTATCCCATGTTAGCCACATAATGAAATTGTGAAATGCAGGCTATTATTACTTGTTTACTTCTAATGAAATTTCAGAAATGAATATTACAAAAAAATTTTATCAGATAATTTCATTGTTTTTAACAAACTAATTCTTTATGTGGAACTGCAACAGAGTCTCAAAGGTAGGTGAAACCTTACCTGTGATTCTTTATTATAATCATCATCATCAGCAGCAGCAGCTTTGTGATTTGTTTTTTGTGCCTTTGGGAGTTCTGGGATTGGGTAATGTCTTCGGGGGATTGAAATACTTGAATTTGGTCTTTGTCTGACCAGCAGAACTTTCCCTCTTGTTCCATTTTTCTTTGGGATCATCTGCCGGTTTATTCAAAACTCTGACAGTTTGGTCCAGAAGTTTGTCTGGCAGACCATGCTGCATAACATGTTCAACATACCGACCTTGTAAAGATGTATACAATTTTGTGATGAAGTCTGCTGGTCTGAGGTACTTTTTTTTGGCCAAGATGTTCTTTTTTACCAAGCCAAACCACAGCTCCACATGGCAGTTTGTTTCTCTTGATTTGCTTGTTTTATTTGTTGCAGCAGATGTGGGTGTTTTGTACCGTGTTAAGTCGCCAAGTAACATTCCGCTCCACAGTGGGATGATTCCCATGTAGTTCTTCACAAGCACATCAACTATACCAGGACAGTAGTAATGATTTTCTGTGATCTCTGATTCCTCAGACAGAATGTCAACCTGAGCTTGGTCCCGTAAAACTTGGAAAGTCTTTGTAAATGGTGAGTTAGCAATAATGCTGTTGCTTTTGTCACTTTTGCTGTGTTGTGCTTCTGCTGTATGCTGGCCATCTTCATCTTTCTCTGACTTGTTTTTGGAGATACAGCTGTTGAGGTATGCTTGACTTGTTTGTACTAAGGGGTTGCAATGTTTTGCATCAAATAGTACACACATGTTGTAAAACACCTCCATGGCAAGTTGGAGGTTATTGCAGTTTAAAAGGGATGCGAAACAATAGCTTGCATACTCTAAGCCTCGATCACGGGTCTTTTTCCCAAAAGCTTGTGTAACAGCCTTCATAATATGGGCAGAGCACAGGTGCAATACTGTGAAGTTTTTCATTACAACTTTATGTTCATGCACAATCTCAAACGCTCTATCTAGGTACTGTGAAATATCCTCCTTGTTAAAGGCTAGTAGCACACTATTAATGAGAGCCCAGCTGTAGTCGGTTTCTATCTGTGCTTTTTTGATTTTGGTAGTGTGGGTCAGTTTTCTGTTGAATTCCATCAACCAGTGTGAAATGGAAGGAACAGTATGGCTGTTGGTCAGTAGCTCAGTTATGGGCAAAGGAGGTTTGTCCTTCCCCATCCCTGGCAAAACCATAGCATAATACAGAATTTTTTTTTTCCTGACCAGGTATTTTTTGTACAACACTCCCTGTGGCATCAAGATGGAGGGTAACAGGTGATGAATTTCTTAGATGGTGGGCCAATATCTGTAATCCAGTGTCTGTTTGTAAATGCACTGCAAAAGGGTCAATGTGAAGTTGTTGGAAATATCCCTTGGAGTTTGAATTAATGCTTGTTTCTTTAATCAGTTTTTGTGTTAACACGAGCTCAAGTATTATGTCATCATGGAGTCTTGTACTCTTCTTTAATTCTGATGAAATTTTTCTTAAAACATCTTTAGTGAGGCTTTTCGTAATGTTCCCCGCTGTGATTTCTTGGATTGGTGTCTGCCTCAACTTTGAATTGTAGTATTTACTGACACCATCTGCTACAGCTTTGGCTATCTTACCTCTTTTTAAGTATTTTGCTGGTCTGAATCTCCATTCTTTTTTACGGTGTGTCACCGAACCAAGCCGTTTCACAATAAAAGAGATTTTGCTGTCAAATGGTTTAGGGATGTTCTTCTTTCTAAAAGTATAAATTGCATTGCATCCATTAAAGGTGCATTTGGCACGAGCAATAAAAAATGGACACGTTTTTTTACGGCTGCTACTGAGTTTCACGTGTTGATATTTAAAGGAAAGTGTACAACATGGATTTATTTTGTTGAATTGATCATATAATATCTCAGTCCAAGGGTGACGTAATTGACTGTGGTGATGTTTGGGTTTGATTTTTTTCCATTCTTTTCTTGTTATCTTTATTTTAAAATTACGAAGGCCTGCCTTGCATTGTCTGTAGTCACTTTTGCTCTGTTTATGTTGTTCCATTTTGTCCATTGTCTTTTTTGGATTTATTCTAGATGTAGCACGTTTCTGGTCATCATTTCTATCCTCTGTTCTTTCCTCATTCTGTTCCTCTGTTCTTTCCTCATTCTGTTCCTCTGTTCTTTCCTCATTCTGTTCCTGTGCTCTTTCCTCATTCTGATCCTCTGTTCTTTCCTGTGTTGTTTCTTCATTCTGATCCTCTGTTGTTTCCTCTGTTCCTTCCTCTGTTCTTTCCTCTGTTCTGTCCGCATTCTGAGCCTCTTTTGTTTCCTCCTGTCCTGTCTGTTGTTGTGAACCTGGCTCTTTTTTATTGACTTCTACTTTGTCCTGTGACGGCTCCCTGTCCTCAGTGGTATTTTGTCCTGTGTCGTCAGAGTACGCATCTTGTGCTGTACTACTCTGTGTGTCCAAACATTCATGGGGCTGAACAATTGCCTGACCTATTCTGTCCCTTTTTTTTCTTTTGAGAGGTTTCTTTGATTTTGTAACTTTTGCATCCTCTGTTATATCGTCATTTTCATCATTATATCCTGTCTGCTGTTCTGACTGTGGTTGTTTAACATGTAATTTAGCTTTGTGCAATGACTGTTCACTGTCCTGCATTGTATTTTGTCCTGTGTAGTAAACAAAATGTTCTTGTCCTGTACTATTCTCTGCTTGATTTTGGGTCCCACTGTCATTTCCACACATCATCATTGGCACATTGCCCTTCTCACTGATTTGGCTACCTAACGAGAAACATATCCGAATTAACACATTTTTATTATATATGTATGTTAAATACAAATCTTATGAGACCCTAGAAGGATACTGATAGGTGCTCATAACAGCCCCTAACAGGAAAATTATAATTACTAATAAAAAATTTCACTTTATCATGTACAACAAACACCACGTCTTTCTAAAAGACATATTTTCCTTCTGTGTTCCTTTAATTTATTTATTTAATTTTGAATTGAATGGCTCTCCATCTTTGTGACACAAAAAATATGCAAAGAATACTGTAACAACAGTGTAACTAGCAAAAAGCAGAAAAAAAACAGTACCTGCATTAAGCACCTTCGTCCATATTCCTTTGCGATCTGAAGCCCAAATGACCTTCAACCACTTCAAATATTTTTTATCATTACTTTTAAATAGATAAAAAACAAGCGACAACCATTGGTCATAAGTTGGAACTGCCTCGCTAAACTTCAATGAAATGAAACACTTAATTATGGCATCAGTGCCTCCTGCTGTTTCCCAAAGATTTCGATTTTTATCGCTCTGTCCTTTCCTGAAACGGCCCATTTGGACAAGAGCTATGAAACGCTTTCTCAGGTGCGCTTCGTTTTCTACTTCTTCTTCTTTGGTGATTGTCAAAAAGAAAAACAAGCTTTGGAGCATTAACGCCACCTACTGGTATCGAGTGTGTTTCATGAGGATTTCTCATATATATTTTTTTATATATTATCCATGTGTACTTATACATACTTATAAATGTACATATATAGAGAGCACTTTCACAGCACCTATTACACCTTATACCTTTAAAAATTACTCTATTTAGAACTACAGTTTAAGCATAGATTTGCATCAATAACCATTTCCACACAATAATTTTTAAGTATTTATTTGATATTTCAATAATTACAATTGATCCTTTTGTTCCAGGCTCTGCACAACTGCTCTTTGAAAAGTGAGGTGATTATCTGGGAGGGGAAGAAAATTGTTAAAGAAAGACAAGCGACAGTAATGCTACGGTTTACTAAAAATAAACTTTGTGTACAGTCTATTAAGTGTCATAAGTGCTAAGTTGGAGTGACTCACCTCTCTTTTCGTTTTCTGTTTCCCTGTTTGTTCAAACACTATTTATATATTACAGGAGAGGCCATGTAAATGTGGGTGGTGAGTTTGTGGTATTTCATAACGGTGCTTATTGCTTAAGAGTAATACATAAAATATTAAAAACAAACAAATAGAAATATGTGTGTTTGCATTTTTTAAAATGCATTTATTTAGATGACATAAAATTCTAAATTAATGAAAGGTGGTTTGACCCTTCAGAGCAGACACTACTTAAGGCTGCAATTGTACCTTTGGTTTATCTTTATACTGTTCCAGAGATGAATAAACCTTTCCTTTGTCCACCTTAGTCTGTCTCGAACATCATACAAACGGAAATCTTGTTACGAAAGACCGACTGCAGATGCATATGTGACATAAGCTGGAAACTATAGAATTAAAGTACTCAATTTCCTATCTAAACTTTTTTTAAAAATTAATAATTACTTTAGATCGAAAACAAATGTCTGTGCCTCATCTATAGGGACTAGTAGAATTATATCAATGTGATTCTGAGTCATTAGGTCACATGACCTGGAAGCTATTGAATAAAAACCCTCAATTTTGACGAAAAAAAATTCCTAAAAAATGGAAAATTATTTAAAATGGAAAACAAATGTCTGTGCCTCATCTATAGGGACTAGTAGAATTATTTCAAAGTGATTCTGAGTCATTAGGTCACATGACCTGGAAGCTATTGAATAAAAACACTCAATTTTGACGAAAAAAATTAATAAAAAATGGAAAATGGCTCAAAAGTGGAAATCAAATGTCTGTGCCTCATCTATAGGGACTACTAGAATTATATCAATGTAATTCTGTCATGTTCCATGTTTCTGTGTGTTTATTTTTGAGTTTCTGTGTAGTCCTGTGAGTCTGTCTCTGCGTCCTCCCCGTTG